AGTGGGTGTGGAGAAAAGGGAACCCTCCTACACTGTTGGTGGGAATGTAAACTGGTGCAGCCACTATGGAAAACAGTATGGAGGTTCCTCAAAAAACTAAAAATAGAGTTGCCATATGATCCAGCAATCCCACTCCTGGGCATATATCTGGACAAAATATATATATACACACACAATGGAATACTACTCAGCCATAAAAAAGAATGAAATAATGCCATTTGCAGCAACATGGATGACCTAGAGATTATGACACTAAGTGAAGTAAATCAGAAAGACAAATACCACATATGAATCTAAAATATGATAAAAACGAACTTATCTACGAACAGAAACAGATTCACAGACACGGAGAATAGACTTGTGGTTGCCAAGGGAGGAGGGGGTTGGAGAGGAATGGGTTGGGAGTTTGGGATTAGCAGATACAAACTATTACATATAGGATGGATAAACAATAAGGTCCTATTGTATAGCACAGGGAACTATATTTAATATCCTGTGATAAACCATAATGGAAAAGAATATGAAAAAGAATGTGTGTATATATATACATATATATATATGCATAACTGAATCACTGCTATACAGCAGAAATTAACACAACATTGTAAATCAACAATACTTGAATAATATAATTTTTTTAATGTGTTTAGAGGTGTTACTGATAGGTGATATTTTTTTCTTTTCTTCTTTATACTTTTCTCTATTTTCCAAAATTTCTATAAGTATAATATATATATTATATAACATAAGCATATATTACTTTTAAATTATACATATCTGTGTAATATCCATCTTCCTGGTATAACAGTACTAGTCCCAGGCAACACTGTGAAGAAGGCTTTGTCCTTTCCTGGCTTCCCTCCCAAGGAGCCCTGCTCAGTCCTCTTCCCCTTTAGAGACCAGAGCGTCAGATGATCAGAACCTGCCATCCCCAGCAGATGCTCAGTGCTGGAGGACTCTACCACCTCTTATTCAAACCCTCTAGTCTTCATATCCAAAGGGAATGATCAATTCATCAATTCTGCTCCCTAACAAAACATACTTTCATCTCAACAAGGGTTTTGGTTCTTTTTCAGGAGACAAGACCTTATTCCACGATGGCTTCTAGTCCTCATTCTAGTCATCATTCTGAAAAGCCTACCAGCAGGATATTTTGCCTCTCGAATCATACCCAGTAGACAAAAACTCATGTCATTTTTTAACACCATTTCCTCACACTTAGAACAGGGGTTCGAGAGCTACCTGGTCAAAAAGGATGGCAAATATCCACTACCCCTGTTTTCACAAGTCACCCTCCTACTTACGCCCCTCTCTCCCTAGAGAGAAATTAGGGTGGTCTGGGGACAGTGTAATTGACGTCTTTGCTTTTTGACTGTGTGCTTTCCTTTCCCCTTTTCCTGAAAACAGTACTGCCACCACCATGAAGTTCCAGGAGTTGCCAGCCACAGTACACTTGAGCCCTGGTGGACATGGGTCCAGGCTGGCACCATTAAGTACTATATCCCCCTGGATACAGTGGCTGGGCCAAAGAATGAACATGGGACCCAAGTGAACCCATCAAAGTTTTCCAAATCGGAGATGAAAGCATAACTAGATCTTTCCTTCAGATTGTAAACTGTAAGAATGTAATCCCTGACCTGCCAGCAACATAATTCCCCACCTCACAGAGAAGCCAGAGAGAATGCAGTCCACACATATATACACATCCTGAAATGAGAGAAGATGGGCAGAGACAGTGAGTCCTGTTGGAGCTGGAGCCCCCCGGTTCATTCAGCACTTCCTTTCCACGGTTTGGTTGTTGGTTTCTGGATTAAACAAGTTTGATTTGGATTTTTGTGACTTAAATCCAAAGGAACTGAATACAGCCATCATCAAAACAATATTCTTCATATATTACAAATACCTAACTTAGAAGGAGCTATATGAAGTTTACGCTCTTCACTTTTTTTTTTTTTTTTAATTCTCCCCTGCACTGTCATAGATAGAATGGGAGCAATTACTGCCACCTGAATGAGGTCTTTGCTTCAACAGGTCCCACACTGAGTTGCATATCTATTTGTTCATGTCATGGTAACTTTTACAGGATTTAATTGATTTTGACCCTAAACTACTATAGTACAAAAGACAGAGACCAAGACATTCCAAATGGATTTAATTTCTGGTCTTTTCAATTAATTTTGATTAAGTCAAAAGAAGACAGCAATGTGTGCTTGGAATGAATAATGCCTATAATTCACAGACCCACTCCTAAGTCTCAAGTTATGAATGAGGTACTGAAAATTTACTAGAGGGATTAAATAACTGGACCAAAGTTGCTTAATTATTAGAGTAACCAGTCCAGACTTCCACCCTCAAAATTCTACAAAGGACCAAAATACTGAGCTTATTTCTTCCCTAACACCTACACAAGTGAATATACAACTTTGGATGGTCTTTCTGTTCATCTGTCATTAATTAATTACCTTGCCTCCATCCTTAAAATCCTCAGAGGAGAAAAATATAAAAAACATTTTAATTTAAACTAAAGAGAAATCTATCAAGGTTTTGCTAAATTATTTCACTAATGACTTATACTTCTACTGAAAGTCTGTCCCCTGAGTGTGATAAGATTATACCCAGGAATGAAACAATACCCTTAAACCACAGGTTTACAGATAAAATAGATTCTTTATGAGGACATTGGGGAGAATTCTTTTTAAATGAAGGCTGTAAAATTCATATAGTTCCTTCTCAGTTAGGTACTTGTAATATATTAAGACTCTTACTTTGGACATGGCCAATAGTTTCAAGTCACATAGCCTTCTAAATCGTCATATATACCAATAAGGGCACAACAGAATGTGATGTGGTACTTGTTTATACATTAATATTTTATATTCCTCCCTATGATGCAATTTCTTCCAAGCAAAAAAATGTCTATTATGTCCACAATTTAAAAATAAAAAATGACAATTTACAAAGCTTTTAGGATATCTCATTTATTTAATTAGCAATAAACCCAGATAGAAATTATTTCCAAATTACATGACACAGCAGAAAATGCACAATTACGCAAAATGTAGTATGTAGTATGAATATGACTAATGGACAGAAAATGGTTTAGTTGCTTCAAGTGAAACAAAAATTTCAGTGTGATGCTGCGGCTGAAATAAAAACCTTAAGAAGAAATAGTTTTAAAAATTGATGAGGGAGTTCTCCGGTGGTCTAGTGGTTAGGATTTGGTGCTTTTACTGCCGTGGCCCAGGTTCAATCCCAAACTTGTTTAATCCAGTAGATTTGGGGGAAATCTACTTTCTCCCAAATAATGGCAGTGCTATAAGAGCAGAAAATCTGGCCAAGTAATAGGAAAAAATAAGATGTCTGCATGCCAACAAATGCGTTTTTTTTAAAATTATAGTTGATTTATATTATTGTGTTAGTTTCAGGTGTACAGCAAAGTGATTCAGTTTTATATATTTTTTTCAGATTATTTTCCATTATCAGTTATCACAAGATAGTGAATATTGTTCCCTGTGTTATGCAGTAAATTCTTGTTGCTTATCTATTTTACGTATAGTAATTTGTATCTGTTAATCCCAGACTCCTAATTTATCTCTCCCCCCTTCCCTTTCCCCTTTGGTAACCACAAGTTTGTTTCCTATGTGTGTCTGTTTCTGTTTTGTATATAGATTCATTTGCATTATTTTTTAGATTCCACATATAAGTGATATCATATAATATTTGTCTTTCTCTTCCTGACTTACTTCACTTAGTATGATATTCTGTAGGTCCATCCATGTTGCTACAAATGGCAATATTCCCTTCTTTTTTATGGCTGAGTATACACCCATATATTTATGTGGATATATATATACCACATCTTAAACCAAATCTGGGTTGTTTCCATGTCTTGGCTCTTGTTAATAGTGCTGCTATGAACACTGGGGTACACTGTATCTTTTTGAATTAGAGTTTTCATCTTTTCCAGATATACGCCTAGGAGTGGAATTGCTGGATCATATGGTAGCTCTCTTTTTAGTTTTTTAAGGACCTCCATACTGTGTTCCGTAGTGGCTGCCTCAATTTACATTCCCACCAACAGCAAATGCACAGTCTTGAAGAGTCAAAAGCCTGATGCTACTAGTTTTTCCTAAAATGAATAATTATAAGGGACATCTTAATTAAAAGCATAAACTGAAGAATAAATGAGGGCTTACCCAGTCTGATGTTCTGTGCTCGTTCATGGAGCTGATTTACTAGTGCTTTCATCTGCTCGTAGTTTTCCTAAAACAGAAGCAAAGAAAAACAGGGAGAGTATTATAGGAAAGCAATGATTTTTTTTTACCATAATAAGGGTTAAGGAGAACAGCATTACATGCCAACCCCATGTGGCCTCCACACTGGGCCACTTTGCCACCTGTGTGGCCTCTGTGCTGGGCCAACTCCAATGTGTAAAAAAGATTAATTCGTGCCTCTTTGTCTTTGCTCAAGCTCTTCTGCACTACCACCCCCCTCTCTGGTCCATCTATCCAAATCTCACCCCCCTTTTAAAGCCTAACTGATGTTCCATCTCATCTCCAACACAACTTCTGGCTACTCCCATTCATTTTAACAACTTCCTTCCTTACACATCTACAGAACTTAATTGATCTCTAGTATTTGTTTTCTTTTGTCAATGAATATAAGCCCTTTGAGGGTTAGAATGCCATCTTATTTTTTCTGTCCCCTCAACCACTATCGTGAGGAGATTCCAACCAATGCAGAAATACTTGTTTTACACTTACTGACAAATTACAGTAATTACTTACTTACAGTAAGTAATTAAAAACAAAGCCCAGGGGGAAAATGGATCCTATTTTAAAAAGGAACAGGGGGGAATTCCCCCGTGGTCCAGTGGTTAGGATTCCGGGCTTTCACTGCCAATGGCATGGGTTCAATCCCTGGTTGGGGAACTAGGATCCCATAAGCCACATGGCACGGCCAAAAAATAAAATAATCCCAGCCTCCTTTTTCAGACAAGTGTGGCCATGTGACTAAACTCTAACCAATGAGATGTAAGCAGAAGTTGTTAGGTATGACTTCTAGAAAGGCTCCTTAAAAAAAAGGACAAGAAGGTGAGGGCGTCCTTTTACCTATTCACCCTTTCTCCTCCTTTGCACACGGAACTCAGACACAATAGCTGGAGCTTAAGCAGCCATATTAGACCATAAGGTAAACTGTACTACTTATTTTAAATTCTTCCTTCCCTCCCATCCTAGCCAAGGTTCACTGTGAGATTATACTTCCCTACCCCACAGTCTCTGAATCTGTCCGTATTACTTGCTTTGATGAGTGGAATGTGGGCAAAAGTGACAGTGTACCAATTGCAAGAAGAGGCTTTAAGAAGGACAAAGTGTTTCCATGCTCTCCTCTTTGTGCCCCAGCCTTCCATTAGGAGAGGAGCATCCCACAGCAGCCACTGCCCCTTCATTCTGGGTCCTGGAATAAGAAACAAGTAGAGCAGACCTGAATCTACTACAGTCCTAGAGCAGAACTGCCACAACCGACCCATAGATCCAAGCACAAAAAATAAATACTTGTTCTTTTGAACACTGAGATCTTGGGATTGGTTGCTACTCAGCATTACTGAAGCAAAATCTGGCTCATACAGTAATTAGTCCAAGGTCATTCAGCTAACAAGTAGTAGAATTAGGATTTAAACCAAAATCCACCAACTCCAGAAACTCACTCTTAAAGCAACATGCTACAATGTCTCTTCTGCCCACTGAAAGGGCCACTGTTGACACTTTAGCACATTTCCACCAGGTCTTTTTCCCCCTATGGAAATATGTTGCTTGTTAGCTTTTAAACATACATGAAATACTAAGCCAGTGCTTTTTCCACCATAGCACAGCTACTTTCTTATTCTAATTACTGGTGCACAGACTGAACCAGAACATAAAACATTTTACATAGAGAAAGAAGTTATAATCTCAGGCTCACACTCCCTAACCCCTAGCTAGCAGCCACCATCAAATACATCAGCCGAGACCTGACTTCAAAAAGATGGCAGAGCAGGAAGCTCCAGGCCCTTATTCCCCCACAGAGACATCACAAAACAACCCAAAACTGGCTAAAGTAACCTTACAGGAGCTCTGGAAAACACTCAGAGGTCTACAGCAACCAAGAGAACACCCAGCCAAGAAGCCATATTCAGAATGGTGGGAAACCCATTCTCCACACTGCAGCCACACTGATTATTCTACCATGTCCATAGGATCATGCCACTTCTCTACTTAAACATCTTAGCAGACAGGCTGCAAAGTGAAATCTAAATGTGGCTTCTACACATGGCTTCCCTCCTCTACCTGGCTGCATAAGCAATCCCATCTACTAAATGAATTCCTCACCCTGGCTGGGACTTCCAAGTTCTCACTCCCACTAACCACTTTCATAACTTGGTACCTATGTTCTCATAACTCCTTTAGTTTGTATAATCCTGCCTCCCATTCTCCATCCTGAACCTGGCCAGTTCTTACCCAACTCAAGATCCAACTCACTCACTGCCTCCTATGTGCAACCACCTTTTTTAAGCTTTAGACATCACTCATCACAATGCATTGCTTTCTTGTCATCTCCCCCACAAAATTATGATTCCATTCCTACACATCTATTCCAAATATCTAAAATAGTGGCTAGACCACAGTAACCACTTAATGTTTCTAAATTAAACATTCTCTCCTGATCCCAGGACATCTAAAGACTTTTGGAAGTCTCCCATTGGATACTGTTTCTGCCTCAGCCTGCTGATTTCTTTTCAACCTCCTTGTTTTCCCAAAGGCAGGAATTATTTAAAATGTGTTCTCTGAGGGAACTTCCTGGCGGTCCAGTGGTTAAGACTCTGAGCTTCCAATGCAGGGGGTGCGGGTTCGATCCCTGGTCGGGGAACTAAGATCCCACCTGCCGCAGCAGCGCAGCCAGAAAAAGTCTTCTCTGAAAGTTATTTGCACAATTTAAATGTCATCTGTACAGGCTTAGAAACCATAGGACAGACTGAAAATTTCCAGCTCTGATATTTCACAAACCAGGAGTTGTTTCTTTAACGTTGTGATACCTCCCAATTCCAAGAAAAGTCATTTAAAGATAAATATTTTCTATTAACATAACCAACCATTTCAAGTCTGGTAAGCACAACCCAGGGTCAGCTGTGATAGGCCAGTGGTTCCCAAAGCTGGCTGCCACCAAGGCCCTGCCCTCCCCTCTCAACAACTTCATTAACAATGCAAACACCAGGACCCCACCCTAGAGACGGAAAAGGTCCAGGGTGGGGCTAAGGCAGCCATATATTCAACAAGCTCCCAGGTGACTGCTAAACCAGAGAGCCACTGGTTTTGCGAACCAATGATTTTAAAGATACAAAGTATAGTGCCAGTGCTAAAAGTGAACTAAAATGTACCTGATTTGGAATTGTTTTCTGTTTCAAACTTCACGACCCCCTGGTGCGTCCCAGAATCATGACTGGGGATCCAGAGAAAACAGCAGCGACTGTTGAAGTGTGCCTACCCTGTACCTGCTTCCCAGTCTGGCCAACGCCTTGTGCCGTCGGTGAAGAGGAATCACTGACTCGGGCTGGGTACTCCAGGCCCGGGCCGCTCACCCGCCCTACCTGGTAGATGGCAGAGGTCGAGTCCGGTTGGGTGCCCAGCGTCGCCACGGAGTCCCCATGATAGGCGCGCGGCGCGGGGGCAGCGGCGCGGGCGCACCGCCGCAAAGCTAATCTCGGGGCGGCCCACATGGCAGCAGGCACAGAGGCAGGAAGGAGCGTGAGAGAGCGGCCTGCGCCGGTCCGGGGCCGAGGCTTTCCCCTCCAACTCCCACGCTTCGGGATAAAGCTCAGCCCAGGCCTTTGCAGTCCCAACCCGCCTGAAACCTCCCCGATTCTGAGGCCAGCCTCGGCACGTGCCGGCGCACGCCGCCCGTGATTGGTCAGCGCTGAGCACCACGCCCCCCGAATTCAGCGAATAAGGGACAGAAGTGCAGCCCCGCGAGGCCTGTCCCATCGCGAGCCCCGGAGCGTTGCGGTTCCCGGGGTGGAGCGACCCTTCTGCGTCCTCCCGGTCTCCCGAGATGCTGAGCTTAGGAGCTGCGGCTGAGTTTGCTTGCTGTCGGCGTCTGTGCTTTTTCTATGTGCTGTTTTCTTCTTCCCCTGCTGCTACAAAGGGTGTTCCGGGGCTTGAAAAAGCTTATCCTTATATGAGAGCTGGAAACTGAACAGGCTTATTAAGCTGCCCTAAGAAACTCTTTAAGGGGATAAGCATTCGTTAATCAAATGTCTTTAATGTCCCCTATCAAGTGCTCTTCTGGAGCGGGGAATACAGTGGAGAACAGGCAAAGTGTCCTCTTTTATAAAGCGGAGAGAACATAAACAAGTAAATAAAAATTCTAATAGTGATAAATTACAACTTAGATGTACAATTATAACGTACTTCTAAAACTTTGCCTATAACAAATCTGAGCTTCCTCACAATTTCTCATCCACTGGACAGTGAGAAAAAATTAATCTTCCTTTGGTCCACTTAAGTCTTAGATTTAATTTTTGTATATGGTGTTAGGTAAGGGTGTGGCTTCATTCTTTTGTATATAGATATCCAGTTTTCCCAATATCATTTGTTGTAAAGACTGTCCTTTCCCCATTGAATAGTCTTGGCACCCTTGTGAAAAATTATTTCATAAGCAATGATTTATTTCTGGACTCTGTATTCTGTTCCATTGGTTTGTATGTCTGTCTTTATGCCAGTACCACACAGTTTTTTGATTACTGTAGGTTTGTAGTAAGTTTTGAAATCATTAAGTGTGAGTCTTCCAGCTTTGTTCTTTTTCAAGATTTTTTTGGCTATCCAGGATCCCTTGAGATTCCATCTTAATTTTAGGGTAGGTTTTTCTATTTCTGCAAAAAATGCCAGAATTTTGATAGGGACGGCATTGAATCTGTTGATCATGTTGGGTAGCATTGACATCTTAACAATATTAAGTCTTCCAATCCATGAACGTGGGATGTGTTTCCATTTATTTATGTCTTCTTTAATTTCTTTCAGCAGTGTTTTTTCGTTTCCATTGCGCAAGTCTTTCACCTCCTTGGTTAATTCCTATTTTATTCTTTTTGATGCTATTGTAAATGGAATTGTTTTCATAATTTCCTTTTCAGTTTGTTCATTATTAGTGTATAGAAATGCAACTGATTTTTGCATGCTAAGTTAGTATACTGCCAATTTGCTGAATTCATTTATTAATTCTAACAGGTTTTGTGTGTGTGTGTGTGTGTGTGTGTGTGTAATCTTTAGGGCTTTGTAAAAGTCATCTGTGAATAGAGATAATTTTACTTTTTCCTTTCCAATTTAAATGTCTTTTATTTCTCATTCTTACCTAATTGCTCCAGCTAAAACTTCTAGTACTATGTTGAATTGAAGTGGTGAAAGTGAACATCCTTGCCTTTTTCCTGGTCTTAGAGGAAAACTTTTCAGCCTTTCACCATTGAGTGTAATGTTTGCTGTGAGTGTTTCACATGTGGCTTTTTTTTTTTTTTTTTTTTTTTTTGGCTGCATTGGGTCTTCATTGCTGCGCGCGGGCTTTCTCTAGTTGTGGTGAGGGGGGGCTACTCTTCGTTGCGGTGCACAGGCTTCTCATTGTGGTGGTTTCTCGTTGCGGAGCACGGGCTCTAGGCGCGCGGGCTTCAGTATTTGCGGAGAGCTGGTTTCAGTAGTTGTGGCTTGCGGGCTCTAGAGCACAGGCTCACTAGTTGTAGCATACAGGCTTAGTTGCTCCACGGCCTGTGGGATCTTCCCGGACCAGGGCTCGAACCCATGTCCCCTGCGTTGGCAGGGGGATTCTTAACCACTGCACCACCAGGGAAGTCCCTCACATGTGGCTTTTATGATGTTAAGGAGGTTTCCTTCTATTCCTAGTTTGTTGAATATTTTTATCATGAAAAAGTTTGAATTTTGTCATCTACTTTTTCTGCATCAATTGAGATGATCATGTGAAGTTTGTTCCTTCATTCTGTTAATGTTGTGAACTACATTGATCATTTTTTTCTATGTTGTACCATCCTTGCATTTCAGGAATAAACCTCACTTGGTCATGATATATAATCCTTTTAGTATGCCGCTGAATTCAGTTGCCAGTATTTTGTTAAGGATATTTGTATCAGTGTTCATAAGGGATATTGGTCTATAGTTTTTGGGGGGTTTTTTTGTTTTTTTGTTTTTGTAGCGTCTTTGTCCTGCTTTCACGTCAGGATAACGCTGGCCTTATAGAATGAGTTAGGGAGTGTTCCCTCCTCTCCAAGTTTTTGGAAAAGTTTGAGAAAGATTGGTACTTGTTCTTCAAATGTTTGGTAGAATTCACCAGTGAAGCCATCATATTCAGTGCTTTTCTAGGTGGGGAGATTTTTTTTTTTTTTTGGTGGGGAGATTTTTTGATTACTGTTTTGTCTTCTTACTAGTTATAGGTCTATTCAGGTTATCTATTTCTTTGTGATGTAGTCTTGGTAGGTTTTGTTTCTAAGAATTTGTCCATTTCATCTAGATAATCCAACTTGTTGGTGTTCAGTTGTCCGTAGTATTCAGATTTACTTTTTACATTTTTCTTTATTAATTTTCATTTTTAAGGGAATACAATAATTCAACTTTTATCATGAAAATAAAGGTATTTTTTAACCTCCTTCTCTCAGAAATGATCCCAGAGCAACAAAGGAACACAAAAAATAATTCATATCCCACCTTCAATTAAACTAGGGGATATATAAAGACAATAGGCAAAAATTGGAATAATAAATTTAGCAAAATAAAAGAAGTTGAAATCTAAGTGCTTGCAGTGGAAAATACAAACAAGTAACAAGTCAATTTGCCTCTCAGAATTGGTGGTACCAGGAATTGGTGGTACCAGGTACAGAGAAATATGTGCATAGAAGTGGAGAAATGTGGTAGAGACCAAGAAATGGTGGAACTACTTGAAAATTTGCAGAAGAAGTAGTTAAAACCGCAGGTTTCCACCCCCCAGTCTGTCCAGGAGATATATATTCCCTGGAGAAACTGAATCTGAAATGTTCCAAATTTAGGGACACTAGGCACTAGTGAAGTGCCAAATTGAGACCAGAGAGATTAAGTGACAGTCTGAAGGCCAAATCAAGAGAGCCCCCTCCCCCCAAGTCTCTTTTCCCACCCAGTTCCAAAATGCTGGCTACCAGATTTATATAGAAGGGAGTCTAGAGAAACCTTACCATTTTACAGAAAAGATCTACAAAGTGACATTTGAGGTTCTCCAGTGAAAAAACTCCCTGGAAGATTGATCTACAGGGATTTCCCTGGGGGTCCAGTGGTTAAGACTCCCTGCTCCCAATGCAGGGGGCCCAGTTTCGATCCCAGGTCAGGGAAATAGATACTGCATGCTGCAACTAAGACCCCGTGCAGCCAATTAAAAAACAAAAAAAGCAACATTTAAAAAAGAAAATTGGGGCTTCCCTGGTGGCGCAGTGGTTGAGAGTCCGCCTGCCGATGCAGGGGACGCGGGTTCGTGCCCCGGTCCGGGAGGATCCCACATGCCGCGGAGCGGCTGGGTCCGTGAGCCATGGCCGCTGAGCCTGCGCGTCCGGAGCCTGTGCTCCGCAACGGGAGAGGCCCCCGTACCGCAAAAAAAAAAAAGAAAAGAAAAAAAACAAAAAAGAAGAAAATTGACCTACAGTGTAACCTACAAATTGACATATCCTACCTACCCTCCAATAAGCTTGTAAAAAACTCCTAATCAGCTTTTTTAGACACTTTCTCTAACATATGCATGGATAGCAAAGGATCAATGGGCATTTGAAGAAAGCTTTCTATTGCAGTTCCATAATGGTTAACACTCTGGACTCTGAAGAAAGTTTTCAATACGAAAAAAAAAAACAAAAACAGAAAGGAAGAAATGTTTAAAAGGAAAAGAAAAAGACACCCACTACCACCAAGAAAACAAAAACAAACAAAAAGAAACCATCAGGGCAAGGAACAGAAGAAACTATAACATCCTTGGAGAAATGAAAATATATTGCATCCATCAAAGACCAGGATTATGAAAAAATTTTTTAAAGCTTTTGAAAAAAATATAAAATCAAGAATTCCTTGGCTGGGGGACTTCCCTGGTGGTCCAGTGGTTAAGAAAGAGCCTTCCAATGCAGGGGACGCAGGTTCGATCCCCAGTTGGGGAACTAAGATCCCACATGCCACGGGGCAACTAAGCTCGTGTGCCACAACTAAGAAGCTTGTGTGCCACAACTACGGAGACCATGTGCTCTAGAGCCCGCATGCTGCAACGAAGAACCCCATGTGCCGCAACAAAAATCACGTGTGCTGCAACTAAGACCCAACACAGCCAAATAAATAAATAAATAAATAAGAATTCCTTGTCTAGAAAATGTAACAAAAGCTAGAGGTTACAGAGTTTAATTAGCCATTTAATGAGAAAGTTCTTTTTCTTTTTTTGGCTGTGCCACACGGGATGCAGAATCTTAGTTTCCTAACCAAGGATTGAACGTGTGCCCCTTGCAGTAGAAGCAGGGAGTCCTAACCACTGGACTGCCAGGGAATTCCCTAGGGAGAAATTATTAAAAGGATGGGAAAACAGATGTTCTAAGGAGATAAGATACTCTACTAGCCTTTAAATTTATTAAATAAATGAGAAGTTAGCAAATATTTCCCACTGGCATTACATTTTACACTTAATGTTATAGTTACTTAAATTTTTACTTGTTTATATTTATCCTGTTTATCTTATCATTATAATTCAGTTTCTAAGTCTGTTTGCTAAGAACAAAGAGCATTCCTATAATACTTTAAAAAAAAATCTTGCTTTAATAGCTCCAAGGGCTAGGCTGTGAGAGGATGTTAGAGAAAGTACATTTGCGGACTTCCCTGGTGG